AGTAAAGCTTTTTGTCGCTAGACATCCCCCCTACGGCCATATTTGGCAGTATGAACTTTCGCTTACTCCCAATACGACTCTGACCCTCTCCGCCCATCATATTATTGAAAGTTTTACGAGCTTTTCTCTGTATCGGGTGAGAACTACCGTAGTACTTTCTATCCAAACTTTTGGGCATGTTTTCATTAGCAAAACTAGTAGCCGTCAGGCATTTGATGCGTGTGCTGAATTTGAATAATAATAGGTTTTCGTCCAAATGGCATGGGAAAATGTTAAGCACCAGTTAATCCATCCACATCGTTCACTCTTCAACGAGAACTTGACAACCCACTCGTATTCTCGTCCGACAAGGTGGGCTGTCATTTTCAGCTGCTGCATCGCTCCGGCGTTTTTCTACGGCATTCCATAAAGGCTCTGTGTAGCCGATTCAAGGAGTAGCCTCACTTAATAGATCTTTCAAGTCTGGGGTAATCTGATTTTTCTGGAAATAAAATTGACAAACAAACGAATGAATTATGCATTCCGCTCCCCATGATGAGCTTAATTACTCGAACTGCATTCAGAGTAGTCGTAGCGTCTGAATGGTAAGGGCACCTTGAAGGCAGTGGGTAGTATTCAACTACCGATGCACCACCCGAGGCTTTCTATTCTTCTATACAATAATACCATCATTCAAACGACTTGAAAACTCAGAAAGTTGGCTGATTTGAGCGCAACCTACAATCGCTTTACTATAGTTGACCGGATTCTTCATAATGTCTTCAGAATAAGCGAAAAAATAGAATTGTCTTCAAATCTTCGAATCGTTTTCGCCATTATTCTGGAGCTTCAGTCAAAATATTACAGATTTTACTAAGCTTTCATTCGAACCTTTTCGTGATAGCCTAGAAGTCGGAACTATCGGAGATTCGTTCTTCTTGAATTACATTTCAGGCCTCCAGCTTAGTTGAAGCATAGCCTGTAGGTGTCTAAAGCAGCTCGTAAATAACAGCAATTTACCCAGTTCAACCTACAGAAGAAAACCTGTCAAGCACCTTCCAACTTGCCTACTGAGCACTTTTGCGATGTGGCCTGCTCTAGACCGACTTGAGACTGGGGACAATTGAAGTTCACGCAGAGCATGGCACGGGGCGAAACGCTAGGTAATCATCTCTCCTATTTGTTTCAAATTCTTTATTATTTTTCTGCATTCTTGTTACACCCGACTTTTCTCACTTTATTTTGCAGAAGAAGTATATTTCCTATCTTCCTGAGCATTTTAAAGCAATCTTCAACAGTGGTCTATTTATGGCTCCTTCACAAATGACCACCATCTCACTTTTGTGATGTTCATTCAGTTGAAAATAGGCTGCTGATCGCATAGATCATAATTGCATATCGGAGCAGCTTTGATTACCAGCAGAACATGAGGCATGGCGCACCTGAAAATAATCAATGAATGCCGAGCCCTTCTGATGCACTGCACTAGAATGAACATTTGATCTTATTAGTATCTTAGCAACGCCTCAGCAATCATGAACCCGATGTGGTGCACTTTCGAAGTTTTTATTACTTCGCCAATATGTAATATGTCGGCGGAAAGCATAGCATAACATAATTTTGTGTCTCAGGGGCCTTCTTGAAATCAGAAGAGCCTGTCTCTATTGTTTCAGGAGTCCTACTCATGGGCGCTACATTTCCTGATTCGTCTTACGGGGGTCTTGCCCAAAGAGACGCTGATTTGCTTTTTGAGTGTGAGTCTAGCCTGATCCTAAGGGTCTGAAATCGGAGAGTCCTTTTGACCTTTAAAAAACTCATTGTGCAAGGCATTTCCAGCTCTCTCTCATTGTTTACTTGTTTACATCAGTTCGAGGAGATAGCAGAACAGCGTATTTGGACATCCATCCTCAACTTTTCTTGTATGTTTTGAGTGTTCATATTGAGGAATGTGTCCGCTTTTTATGTCGTGGCGTTTTTAACGAACCAGACTCTTTTTTCTCCCAAAATTTGCTCCGAGTGGACTAAATTTTGGACCAACCAATCTTTTCACTGTCTATTCGAGAAGCAATTATGGGTTATTACCGGAAATCATTTTCTCAATAGCTTTACCCTTTGATGGCTTCAGCTGTGCCGCACAACTCCTGTGACGTTCCGATCGATCTCTCTTATCATGCCGATTGAAACTATTCGGTTCTTTGACTTCTCTTATTTTCCAATCTTTTTTGACCGTTTAATAATTTTTACGAATCTTGATAGTGATCTCGGATTTTCGCATGGTCGTATAAGGTGACCGACATTAGTCCTTTGAAATCCGTGGAATGGATAAAAATGCTCAAAGGAGACATTTTTAGCAGGCCCCATGGAGTGAGCCATGCACTTAGTTTCCTTCAAAATTCTTTGATTAGAGGATATGTTTGAGGAAATGGGAACAGATTTTCACTTTGATACTGATTTATACTTTGTAAAAACTCAGTCATTCTTTAGTGGAAGTGTCAGGAGTGGAAAAATGTAACTGTAACATTAGAAGTAATGTAAGAGTATACCATAATCGACCTTCTCTTAATCTTGGCATGACCTTTGGTCTAAGTAAGCATTGTAGCCTTCCACGAAATTTGAACCAAGGGACGAAACACCTGCGGCTGATTTCTTTCCAATGGAAAACCATCGTAAAGCTGATGCCTTTCGAGCACCTTCTTCCAATAATATTCAACAAGTTTGGGAAGTTTTAAAAGCGCTGTGAGTTTATTATCTGTTGGGTAAACTGAAGGTGAATATTCTAAAAGGTTCGCCTTTAACGATAAATCTAAACGAATACACCCGAAGCATGCCAAATGGACCCCTTCCTTTAGAGGAGATATTAAGGGTATGAGAATTCTCAAGAAAACATCTGTTAATATGCACTTTATCATCAAATCAGAAACCGCCTCTTGAAAGCTGTCGTAAGTGCTCTATCAGCATCACCCATTCATACATCCACCTGAAGGTGGACGCTCCGGAAGGAGGGCATATGCCCAGCACTTCATCGCTTGCTACTGCCAATCCCAGAGCTCTTTTTTGTGCGGCACCGTTAAAAGCCTTCTCAGCCAGGTGTGCAATCAGTCCATTCCGTTCTCATCACCTAGTCTACACGTGCTCGTCGAGCACCCCCCTACTTATCGTGCTCACCGCCTTTGACTAGCCGAGCCCTTCTTTCATAAGCATACACCTACAATTATAGGGTACTGGCTCGGTGGAATTTATAATTTATAGCCAATTCATCTGTCCTCGCATGGCCATTCTAGGTATTTTATTTGCTGGTCGAATTAATTATGTGGCGCATGTCAGAACGCCCTCGACGCCTTACCTGCCTATCGGTGTGCCGACAAACACCTTTCTGGAGAGCTTATTTCTTCGATTGGATTCTACTACCGTAATACTTTCGGAAATAATGATTACGGTAATTAGCACTGAAAAGGACAAGGCTAGCCATTAAATTCTCGATCCCTTTGACGCGAAAGACCATTACCTTGTTGTTTGCTCCAACTGACAATGAAAAAACAATATTCAATTCGTGAATTCCAATTCTAATGGCTCAAGAAAAACTTTGTGGACAGCTTTATGAATATCTTTTCTTTGATTCTTCCTTGTGCAATGAGATTCAAAGGCAAATGACAAGTCGGGGTATCGTCTGCATTGGTAAGGGAGGGGATTGGAGTGTGCTATAGCTTTTCATTTTTCTCCACTCTGATCCTCTCATTTACAGGTTTATTTTCCCGCTTGTGAATTTCGAATTATGTATTGATCGAATCGATTGTATGATTGGTTCGGTGATTTGATGGTTGACTGATTCACTGTTTTGTCGAATTAATGTGATATGCTAGCGTAATTGGCTCATCCAAATAGGCAATGATCGGCGAGGAAACTCTCTCATTGAGAGAACAAATCATTGAGGGAACAAACTTAGGAAGTGTGAACTAGGAAGAACAAGTCTTCGCTATAGTTCAATATGAGTCAGCAGAACATACCAAATATGTACCTCTTAAAGGGTTTGTACCAGGAATGTACTAAGGAATGTATATTAATAAGTAAGCTGGGAATGCCTACATCAAAAATGTCATTATTCATAAATAACCCGAAGCTTGTCTGCCCATCCGTCAACCTTATTGGCCTTGACTGCACCCAATTTATGGGGAACAAACGGGGCGTTACTTGCCTTTACGTCAGCTCTGCTTGAAGCCGGGAACATATGGAGTTCGCATAACTATAGCTTGTACTAAACCCGAAATTTCCCTGACTCAAAGTTTCCCATTTTCCTCACCTTTTCAAGTGATCGACTGTAGCAATTCGTGTATGCCACATTAGGTGAACGACCTCCACGGGAAATTAGCAGTAATACGAAGTTACCACTTCTGTTTATCACTTAACGGTTACAACAACAGTTTGCAGGGACCTTTTCTGCTGCTCATTTGACAGCCGCTATCCAATTTCTGATTCATCGGATTCTAATGTAGTACTTGGTGTTCTGCAGTCTATTTCCGTCTGTTGTGACTGACAATGGGACAGCCGTATGGCTATTTGCATATTTTTGTGAGGCTGCCGTGAAACAAGTCTATAGCATCAAGATCTCGTGATTTGAAAACATTTCATTCTACTTGTTATAAGTTATTCTCATCTATGAATACTGATACTGCCCACTTTGGGAGACGGGCAGTAGGATCGGTTTTGTGTAATCGATCCGTCGCGCGCACCATGTGGATCATTCTCCTCATTATTACAGATTTAGCGTCCTTCGAACAGCTCAATCGATACGCTATTATTATTTTTGGCATGATTCTAATGTTAGTTCTTTCGTTCCTGTATTTTTACTTGCTGCCGCATTCTGCTTTATTCCTTCGCGCGCGGCGCCTCTCGCCGCAGCGCGACGATTTTGATCCTTCTGCACCACACCCGCTCCCTCTCAACATAGTTTGCGCTTGATGTAATGATGATGTGATGCAATTATTTCTTTAAGGTAATTACTCGCTATTATCTGTATACTGTCCATGGTTCACGCTGTTCCCACCACCGACGGTCGGATCCTTGATCCACGATTCAGTGGAATTGACGATGTGTTCAGGTTCGTGTCTTCGTTATCTCATAAAGTTTCTCGCGGCTATCTTAGTCAATTCAAGACGACTAAGGTTTTCCAAAACCACTTTAGCAGGTTTTGCGAAGCTGCCTAAATAGCCGGTAGAAATATGATCAAATAATCATTCGAACTGTAAGGCTTCTAATCAGCTGAACAGCTCACCTGGTTCGAAAGCCACTCACTAGTGCTCCTTCCTCCATCTATATCGTTTAAATATCTTTTGGAAGTAAGAGAACTTCGATCTGTCATACTTTTTCAGGGAAAACTTCTCCATGGGCCTCGAATCCGCGGGTGCATGTTTCGCCGTATTCCATAATGGGCGATTGGTTGTTGATCTGTGGGGAGGTGCTCAGAATCGAGAAACTGGTCAGCCATGGAAGGAGAACACGATGTCAATTATGTTTTCAACAACCAAAGTAAGATTAACTTTTATTCTACTGATTACGGTCGTAGTAAGCTCGAATACCTGCCTTTTGCTATTATAATAGAAAACACTGTCCTATTTTAGTGAGCCTTTTTCATGTTTTGACTGTATACTCTATCTACAAAATTAGAAATGGCTCGGATTTGATCAGATCACTTCTTTTTTGGCATGCACCCAAAATAGGGTGGCAATTTTTTGAATCAAAACTCAGTAGAAGCCTTTTACCTTGATATAAAACAGATCCAAGTAAATACAAAATCTATTCCTTCATCCTCCCAGAAGGGTGAAAGCTGGTCCAACAAGAAAGGGATCGTAGTGTTGGTTTGCCCGAATGGGTATCATTACCGTAACCGACACTCGGACATTCCGCGTCATATGGCGCACCTTCGAACCACGAAATGTAGGTCCTACAGTAAAAGGAAAAGAATTCTTTGCATCCTTTTTTTGCTTATACTTCTTCTTACATAGTCAACTGGCCTGGAAGGCGAAGATGGTCAAGTAATTCATTCCATCCTAGGGCTTAGGACAAGGTGAATGAACATATCCGAAATGTCGAAAAAGAAGACGAAAAATCTGGTTATGTCCTTCCTACTTATAGTTTTATTCCTTGGACCGGTGACTTCAGAGAAGCATCCTCCCATCGTTTCCCCCAGTAATTGTTGTGTTTTGTTGCTGCCCCGACAGAAGCTATTGCCTCTGTGTTATGACTGTAGTTGAATGCTAATGTAAGTGGAACCCTTGAAAACTTTGAAGAAACGAACACATCGAAATGGTTTTTGTGAAGTTTATCAAATTAGGTTGGAACATTTCGTAGGGCTCAGTTAGACTTTAGAAAATTTTATGTGAAAAAGGAGACAATCATTGTGAAAAAACGAACAAAAAAGGTAGGTTCCCCTGTAGGTGTTTCCGGCGTAGTGTTTGTTGAGTTACTTTCCCTCGTCTCTGTAGGAGTAGGTGTCGGTGTTGTTGTAACTTCTGATGGTGACGTTGTTGTAATGGCCGGCGTGGTGGCTTCTTTAGAGGACGTCTTGCTAGCATCAATTTCTCTTGGCCGTCTCTGAAGTTTGCAGAGATTTAATATTCGTGAATTGCTCATTTTTTATATATTCCTTGAGACATGCGCAACTCTAAAATCCGTCGTGAGCCTACTATTTATCGCGTTAAGGAAAGAAGCTCATTACGCTCTCCAATAATTTACTTTTTTGTGGCTGGCCCCCTTTTTCGTTATTGTATACTGCCTATACTAGATCAATATTGGTTTATTTAATGAGTTTGGAAATATATGAGCCGAAACATACCACTTTGGGAATTGCAGCTACTGATGCTGTCACCAGAAAGAGTATGAACAGGTGCATCTGAAAATGCTGTATAGTCAACAGACAGTCAACACCAATAACAGCATTCGTATTGGTTGTCCTAATGGCTGCTGCTTAGAGAATCTGCTATAAATGGCAATAGAGCCGTCGTAGGAATCCCTATTGTTTTTTCAAATCATCACTTAGTGTCTCGTAGTAGGTTATTAGCAGCAACCTCAGCGGGAGCCTGTTATTCCAATAATATGCACGTTGGGTTATCCGTCGTACAATTGAAAAGGTAAAAAGTTGAACAAGTGGTTGGCCGGGCTTGGACCACCGAAAGTATTTTGAGTAAAGAATGTTGTTCAGGAGCAAGGAAGAGGTTCAATCATTGTGCCTATTTGCCTTTCGGTTCCGACTGTCCAGCTACATTAAGAGCTCCAATTTAGGTCAGAAGGATAACGGTTGTGATGGGGTTGATGGGGATCTCTATACACCATTACCAAGGTGCTCAGACGTTATCACGACGTATTTTTGAGGAAGATGATAAGGAGGAGGTAACTTCGACCGTACGTTTTGTGTCGGCAGAAGAAGCGGTGCATATGCACGAACGAAAGCATTTGACTATCGGAATCAGGCGATTTTTGTGTGTTCAAATAACCACCGTGGAAGATTCAGGGTCCTCAGAAAGTAGGGATTACACGATATTAAAATGGCTCACTATCTTGCACGTATGGTCGCGGGTTCGAAACCCGATGGTTATTCGCATTCATTACACCACTGCGGTTTTGGAAACAAGTCGAATGCAGGGCGCAACCCTCAGACGGGATTGATAAACACCAAAAGACTCTCATTCTTCATGGTGAACAAGAGCCTAGGACTTTCCGAAAACGGTATTGGTTGGAAGCTTTGAGGTTGATTTCTATGCTTGTACCAACTCTATCCTTATAGGCAAGTAAAAGGAGAAAGTTTGGAAAAAGTAAAAGCAAATGGGGAGTGTCTATTCAATTTGAGGATTTGAGAGCTAAAGAGCTTATCGAAAGAAAGTCGATAACGACAAAAACAGAGTGAAGCATCATCTATACGGCATTGGCGAGACCCTTCTTATATCGCGATGTTCGTTCGTTTTTACGCAACTAGGATTCCGTCATATCTATGCAACCTGTATTTGATCAGCACCACAGCACCAGCACCAAATAATTAGGACATCCAATAATAATATCCCATGACAGCTTATAAATACAAATCTCAAAAAACGCAATCTTTCCTGGAAAAGAAGTCTTTCTAGGATCACAGAACGAAAAAATTCCGCAGGAAACTCTCGACAATTTAAGAGTTTAAGCAATTTGATTGTGCAAGTTTCTGACGGTTTTCTTGCCCTTTCTTTGAGCTCGCAATGATTTCGGTGGGAGAAAAGAAAAAAGAAAGTTGAGAAAAATCCTAGCGATCTATTCATTTATTAATGTGTGTTGTTATTGTTTGTTATTGTTTTTTTGTTGTGGTTATTGTTTGTTTGGTTATATGAAGAACCCTTTTGGTAGGAACGGTATTCGGATAGAGATTGGAAATAATTGGGAAGCACGTTGAACTGGAAGCCAAATTAAGAAAGGGGATCTTAGGCTAGAGCTCATTACTTATTCTCTTACTCACTACTTAATTCGTAAAATGATAGGACGGTGCGTAAGCAGTAGCGACTCGACCAGCGCTCAAGTACCATCCAGGTTAAACGTTCTGACTTCACCTCCATGATAACCAGTATATTCGTAAGGCCCGACGGCCTCCTACCAAAAGTTCTGGGCATGGTTTTATAACTACTTTGAAAACTTTTGCAATATCATCGCTGAAAGGCATTGTAGAACCTAGAACGAGGATCTCGTCCAAAAACTTCTTCATCTATCCTACAGTCAAAGCATTCTTTTTGATCTCCAATAAAAAAAGGCAACTAGAAGCTTTGGAACAGCCAAGGATTCATCCGATCAGCTTCTGCAGCTTCCTTTCTTCGCCCTGTCGGGATTGATTAATGAAGTTTTCAGGGACTGTAGAAGACATGCTCAATGGTGGGTGTGTTTTGATGCATACGATACTGAATTTTCAAAGCACGGACGGAAACTGAGAGAACTACCTGATTGGGTGTGAGTGGGTTAAGCCATCTATATGAGTCCCTGAAAAATTAAAGCCTGAAGCTCGATGTAATGGTGTTAAGCGACTCTTCAGTGAGATAGGATACTTGCTGCAAAATAATGACAAGATTGAACAAGCATGGCAGAATGAAAATATGGGTATAATGTAGCCGTCTAAAAAACTCTCATGCTGGGTTTGTCATGATGAAACTTCCAGAGTGTTGCCTCCACGATTCTGGCAATGGTGATGGATCGCGAAGGAGTGCCGTATACAAAGAAAGTCGTCGAATTTTGGCCAGAATTTGCGAAAAATGGCAAGCAGGATGTTACCATCGTGGATATTGTACATCACCAGGTGGGGGAGACCTCTTTCTAATTCTTTTCCAATATTCAGTCACCATTGGCTTTTTACTTTTAAAAGATAAGAAAAGGCGAAGGAAATAAGGTATCACCGTGTGGCCTTGATCTTATTTACCGTTGACTCATTTCATTATGACTGAGATTGATCGCTTTCAACAATCTCATTGAAGCCAGAAAACAATTTTTCATTTTAGGCTGGTCTACCATATTCCGATCAAACTATCACTAGAGAAGACGTAGCTGATTGGAGGCGGATGAGTACATACTTCGAGGATGCCACTCCTATCTGGGTACCAGGATCTCAAGCGGGCTACCATGCTTTGACGTTCGGGTGAGGCAACCTTCTTTGCTATCTAAAAAACTAACAATCTAAAGAGATTTTATGGAGACAAGTGTTTTAGTAGGTATCGATCGCTATATATTTCACAAGGATTCTGTTAACCGTTTGCGATGTAAATACAGTGTTACGGTGTGGGGCCTCGTTGAAATTCATGATGAGCACAATTTTGCTACCTGAGTCCTGCCATTCAAACAAGTAGTTCTGCTTGACATTTTCTCTGAAAGAGGCTGCACATCGGACTTTTCGTTCATGCGAAAGGTGTTCAAGAAGGGGCTGGCAAAGTGCTCAAGTGAGCAGAAACTATGCAAAAAATTCGAATAAAATGTGAAGAACAAAAGTAAGCGGACTCATGTCGCCCTAACTTGAACAAGTGGGATTCAATCTTTTGGAAAGTAATGCTATTTGAACCGTCTGGTTCAACCAAAAATAATCAGTGAAAAACTGAATTGGATCGGATGTTTTAGGGCTTTCACGCTGTTACTTTAAGGTTTTTGGTTGATCAAATCGTCCGGCGGCTTGACCCTTGTCATCGTGGCTTGACTGATTTTCTGAAGGAGATTACGCTGGATAACGGTAATAGTTTACGAATATCTAAATTGGGCACATATTTACTTGAACGTTTTTCTTGTCAAGGGATCACGGATCTATCAATCGGCTTGCAACATACTGATGACAACGACCGCGTAGCTGTACTACAATATCCGGGTGACCTGCAAATTGAATCCGAAGGACGACGAAATCCTGAGTCGTTGCGAAGGTGGAATGCTGGTGATAATGATCACCATAAACGACTCTATGAGACATGGCCCTGGATTACTACTGATGATGTGAATGTTTTGAGCGTGTCTAGATTCTTTTTGAATCAATTTAAAGATGCAATACATAGTGATCTGACTTTACTGAAGACATCTAGTAGTAAGGAGTTTAGCCGTGGGGGAAATATACGGCATTAACGGACAAAAAAGATTCTGAAAATGGAACAATCAGGCCTCAATTTCTGTTAGGGAATCCCCTGCCATAGCTTACGGACTATCAGTTCGATCGTTCGCACTCTTCTATCTTTCTAAAACAGGACCCTCCCCTTGTTTTTTTTTTGAAACAGGGAGAGGTCCTGTCTGAGAAAACTCTTCTAGTTAACTTCGCATCTCTTTCAACCAGCTCCAAAAAGGAACGTTTCTGGACCTGACTGACGATAGGCTTTTTCGAAGGTTTTGTTGAAGGTCGTGTAGCGTACCTTACCTACCTAGCGTACCTGTAGGTTACAGTAGCGGTTAAACAAATCGATAGAGAACGGGTTCTTCTGTTTCTACCCGAGCAACATAAGAAAGGAGACGATGATGTATATCTCCTTTTATTCAAAAAAAAAGGGTTTCTCCGAGTCCTCATCTAAGGTCTACAGGGTGACCCACATGAAGTGTGACGGGCAATAAAAAAATCAACTTATGGGCTTCTGGGCTGGAGGAAGCGGTGATCGCTTGGGCGGAAAGGAACGCGATGAACGTCAGCTAAACATTCCGCAGGATTAGGCACGAGCCCACAGCGCAAAGAAGATGCTGCAATGTTGCGAAACCCCCCTCCCGGTTTTTGGGGCGACGCAGTTTTGACCTTCAAAT